AATATCTGCAGTGCTTCACAATTCAAAGCTTATTTCCCCAATTAGTAAATGACCTCTTCAAAATCAAGAAGAGACTAAAACCTCCTCCCACCCACAAAATTGGACATAAAGAGGAAATTAAAAAATACAGATGACTAATAAACATATGAAAAATGATCAAACTCAAAAACAAAAGGAATACAATTTAAGACAATAGCTTAGGTGATCACATTGGCAAAAATTGTAAATATTTGTAAAATCCATTGTCTGTGAAGTTGCAGGGAAGGTGGCAATATCATTCGTTGCCATTTGAGGATAAAGTTAACCACATTTTAAAAGAAAATTGTGCAATAATTTTCAAAATTTGAAGTGTGCATATACTGAATTCCAGTAAAGCAACTACTAAGTAATTTATTATAATAGACAAATGCAAATTATTAATATATAGGGAGGTTCATTGCACAGAAATTTGGTACTAACATAAATAACTATGAATAATAAATGTTTAAAACATTTAATTATATTTCATCTACAAATCAGTCATGCTGTCATTCAACAAATGACACAAATGTGTATGCATTACTGAAAAAGAAAAAGACCATTGAAAAGACCACTGAAAGGCATTTTGCAGGAAAATATGTTACAATATGACCACACTCGCAGTTCCCCGTCCCCAAAATAGTTTGTGTGTGTTTGTGTGCACCTATCCACTAAAAGAATGCACACAACTCCCTTAATAGAGAAAAACTATAGGGACAGATTTGAAAGAAAAGACATTTAATTTATATATGTTATGTAAATATGTTTTGAATTTTTGAAAAAATCATGCAGAGTTTCTTTTTTAAATATTCTATTTTTTTCAGTTTATCATGTGGCAAATGAAAATTGTAAATGTATATTTATGGGAGCACTGAGCAATTCCACCATTTTGAGCATCTTGTGTAATATTATATCCTCTACTGAGGAGGCTCCTGGGATTGAGTCAAGTGGCAGCAAGGGAAACAGTCACCATGCCCAAATTAAAGTCTCATCGATGATATCGCAACATGAGCATTTCTCAGTTAAGCATTTCTTATCTGCAGGAGGTATCCGCTGCAAACCAGGAAAGAGAGGAGTCTCCATACATAAGGAAGACTGTATCATTGTTTTGGTGAAGCTGGTGGTAGAAGGAATGGCACCAACTCTAACAATGCATCTCGTCTTTGTGGTCATCACCTGCAAAGACACAGTGGAAATATTGGCAAACGTGAGAAACACATTTGAGTCAGGAAGGTATGAAATCCCACTTTACTCTTCCCCTGCATATGCTGGCAGATTTCAATCCAGAGTACACAAAGACAGCCACACTTCCAGCAGCTGGGTCCATGTTGTAGTCAAAACAATGACTTTAAAATGTCCTAACATCAAGGTTGCCAGATATTGGTGCTGCATTTTTTACTTTAAGTGGGCTAAAAAGTGATGGACAACAACCTCAGATTCTGTCTCTCTCTCTTGACCTCTATATCTGGTTTCTTAATGCTCTAAGTTACTCATTTATTTGATCAATTAGTTCTGCTCAAACAACTTTTTGGCTTTCCAGTTATTGAGACTCTAATGTGTCTCATGCATACAATAATTTTCTAGCAAAACAATGGATCCAGCCATTGAAGGAGCTCAGTCTATCAGATGAGAGAAGAAAAGTAAATCCTTCACATTAACAGTACATATAATGAGATGCAGAAAAGTCATGAAGGTATACAAGAAAGCTGTATCTCTTAACACATTATACAATCTGGCCCTTGGAATCAAGTAAAATGTAACCAAAAGTAATTACTATCTCCTTTTCTACCCAGACATGGTTTCTCCTAAAACGTCAAAACTATTCTAACTAAAAACTTACCTTCAGTGGTAGCTCTTGGAATATAGGTAGGTGAAGAGGCTCTTGTCTGAGGAGTCCTGTTTCAGGGATTTATTGGTATCATTCTCTCTCAGAAGAATTCTCAGATAGGTGTCTACTATGGTGACGAGTGAGAGAGAGAGAGAGAGAGAGAGAGAGAGAGAGAGAGAGAAACATCATTTCCAGTGAAACAAGCAATGTAGCGGGAAATTGGGAAGTGACTCTTTGCTACTTTTTTATACTGATTTAATTTGAAAGCTGCCCCTTACTTACATAGCTCTGAAACCATACATATCTGTTCCATAACTCTATACATCTCAATATCAGCACATTGCATCAGGGCATTTCTCATGTGCACTTCCAAACTAAGTAGATAACCTGAATCCCACTGAAAATTGTGTCTCTTACTTTATAAAAATCATTTGTTTGATGATGCTTAATTGACCAAGTTATTCACAAAAATCACTCAAAATATTCTACTTACATATCTGTCCCCAATAAAAGTTTATTGAGAACCTAATCCACAAGGAACATGCCTTAAAAAAATGAACTGAAAAGCATTTGGACATAAGAAATTAAAAGTTCTTTGGGTGAATCAAGCATACAAATAAAGAGCTGATAATAATGATCTCATAGAGGGCAGTTTCTGGTTTGGTATGGGACTGTTGAAGATAGATCCCCTCTCCATCTAGGAAGACCTGTTAGGACTTGCACAGCTGTAAATTCCCCATTACTGTATCCACCCACATCCTGCTCTTGAATGGGCTTTTAATGCTATTTAGCTGTAACCAAGAGGGGGTACTGTCATCAAACTCAAAAGGGGCAAGATATATCAACGCGTATTTATCTGAGGCCTGTTTCCTATAAACATGCAGTTCTCTGCCCATACAATCATACCTAAAAGGGTGTCCAAGAGATCATTCATAGGAATGGAGAACCACTGACTGGGAAGTAAGTTGTCAGCTGCTCATCTGTAACTAACATTCAAGAGTCAAGGCAAGGGCATGGACAGGTTCCCTTCCCTTCTAGGATCTATCATCATCTGACAGAAAAAAAAAGAGGACAAATAATATTTTAAGAAAAAAAATATATATGCACATACACAGATGAACCTATACGCATATATAAATCACACACACACAAAATCTAACATAAACATTCATGAAGTGTGGTATCCTATGTTGTGAGGAGACCTGGAAAGTCCCTTGTAAGGACACAGAGAGTGGTCAGCTAATAATTATGTTTAGTGAGATAAAACAGTCCCATTCTAAGACCAACTGTTATAAAATGAAACTAATACTGCTATATGAAGAGCAATAAAAATATGGTCTCTCTATTAGCACCCGGTGAAGTCCAAGGAAAGCTCCTAACAATTCCACTGGTGAAGGATAAGTTTTTAGCTTAACAATTATCATAAGACCATCTTTACAAAAAATACTTTCAATAATATACGAACAGCTAGAAAGGTTGGATTAAATGAAATTATTCTTTTTAAAAACAATAGCCTAACACTTGCCTAAATCAATAATCTAGTGAAAGGGAACATTCAGGTGTAATAATCAGAAGCACCCTAACCATTCTTCTTCTAAAAGACATAAATGAAAATTTTAATCAGTGATTTGGAAGAAAGCAAGTAATAAGAAATTGTTTTTCAAAAACTGTAATATAACTAGAAAGTCTAGGAATGACAAAATGAGAAAAACATTTGATTACTATATTCAAAGTACCCTAAAAAATGCACAGAACAATAGCTTACATGTGATTCATTGATGTTAACCTCGTTGTATACCCAATGAACAAATGTAAAATTGTGTATCTTAAACAGATGTGCTAATACTCTCTGAAGCCATTTGAAGAACACTACCTCACAAATTTTATCGAACGTATTTATAGGTTTTCTTCAGCTGTTCTGTCAACCAACTGAAATAAGAAATTGATATTAAAGTAAACATTTTAACTTTTACATACAAAGAAAAGTTAAGCCAAAACTTATAAAAGCTAAAACATATATTTGTCTTTTGAATATAAAAATATGGATATAAAACCATAGTCTTCTTTAATTCATTCTCTTGTTTCCGGAAAAGTCAATAAACAAATTTTGAATATTTATCACAATGTGGTAGCTTAAAAATTCTATTTTCAAACGTTCTTCTC